AGCAGAAGTACAGAAAAACATGTTGGATAAAACCAGACAGGTGAACCGGATGAAGGGTGAATCTTTTTTCAAAGCAGAGGATTCTGCACACTATTTCTATACTGTTTCTAATAGAAGATCCTTTTTCTTTTCCCCTTGCCATTCTTCCTGTCAGATTGTAATGATCAGGAGCCAGTCATTACTCTTAGTTCAAGGATGTTAAGCTTTCTTCTGTTTGTCTACATTGTTGGGTAATCTACTTGTTTTTATCTTAAAATATCATAGAAATAAATGCACCACTTAAAAATCAATAATTTTTTTTTCTGACTAAACCATCACTGTCCTGGAAACAGTGAATGAGTCAATGAGGAGATGAAAGAAGAAAGGAAAGAGGTATAGAGAGATAGTTTCACTGTTTTCTTAGGTGATGATTCTGAGGTCCACCACGCTAGGAAACCTGGGGTAGTTTCAGTTCCCGTGGCATCAAACATGATGTCCTTTTGGAGTTAATCTACACCACTTCAGCATTTACATTCTATGAGTCATATACACGATTGGCATTCTTTCTAGATTGACATAGAGATGACATGGCAAACATGCTGACTGGATAGTTACATTTCTCATTAGAAATTAAGTTACTGTTTTAGAGTGAGGAATATTTCCCTAGATTTTAGCAGAAAGTCCTTAAACCACCAGTTTCCACGGTCTAAAAGAATGTACTAAAGGAAGGATTGTCTTCATCATGTCCAGGTTTTTGCATTCTTTCCATAAACAAGTGCTACTGAACTCTTCTGAAAGCAGAGTAGTGATGCAGATGGATATTTGCTCTGACCAGAACAGTTAGGTGTCAAATACTGGCCATTCTTTTCAGCCTGTATTGTTAATGCCTTTTTGCATCCTCTGCTTCAAACCACAGTACAGTTTCAGGAATTGGTTTGGTTTCGATTATGCTCTTGTGATCCTCCTTGATCTCAGAGAGATGAAAGGCAATATGTGATGGCATTATTCACAGTTTGGACAGTTACTTGTAGAAGCGCTTCAAAGCTGAGTGTAAGTTTGACTGTCCTGAGAACCATTTTTTTGTTCATGGTGTAAATATGACTCAGAACAGCCCTAATTGCATGTATAGTCATGATATATTATAAAAGATTATTTAGCTCCAGAATGTAATCCAGAGCATATAAAAATGCCTATGATTAGATTGTGTAAATAACATTTGCAACTAAGGCTTTTCAGCAGCTCATTCAGACCCAATTAATTAGCAGAACCATTCTCACTGACTTTGCTCCTTGTAGGATTCAATTCTGTTTCTGACACCACAGAAATTCAATTCTTGGTGTAAATAGTCATTACATTTTGCAAAGGAAGCAGTTGAGTAAATACTTGAAAAATGTAGGAGGAACAAAATGAAAAGGCTATATATAATATGCCATGGAAAAAAAATCCCTTAGCCTCCAGAGTTTGTTAATGAGCTGGAAAAAATCAAAGGAGCAACCCTGTAGTAGTAGTGTCTCAAAGGATGAAGAATGCATTTTGAATCAGGATAAAAAGTTCTTGAGCCTAATGGATAAATGGAAATAGCTAATAATATGAAAGTTTCATTATTAAAATTCACGAAGAAAATTCGAATAGATTCACACCTCCTTCTTCCTGAAGAGTGGTATATTGGATAACTGTATTGTGTTTGAAAAATAAAATATTTGTTTCAAATGCGTTAACAAAAAACAGGTGCAACAAGAATTAGAAAGGTCTATATATATTTTGTGTGTTTGTGAAACTTGAAAGTTATTGATGCAAACTTTTCGAAACAAACACTGGAAATAAAGTATGGAGGATACAAAAGCATAAAAGATATCTTCAGATGAATATGTGTAAAATCAAGTGTATGTGATTTACACATATTTATATATTGTATATATACTTCAGTATTTAGGAAATTACTTAATTTGGCTTTAGAAATAAATTAAATAAACATTAAATAGTTAAATAAACATTACTGTTTGTGTAAACCATACAATCTAAAACTGTCACTTAAATTGCTTTGTAATTCATCTCAGATTGTTGGTTGTTAATCTTAGTGAACAATATCAGTACAAATAGATCTAGTTTTAAGCCTGAGATGTTGGTAAATCTGTGATAAACTTCTCATTAGGCCTGTTTATAGGGAAAGTGTAGACAGAATTTCCTTGAGCTTAGTGCTGTGAAAATGTCCAGGGAAAGCATAGGGGAAAGGAGTGTTTGGAAATCAATTATGTGTTTATTTTTATGGACAAAGGAAACATCAGTGTGGTATATTTTTATGATATGCTGTACATTCATAGGAGTAAAAGAGGTACTTAATGGTAAATCAGATGTCTTTTTTTATTGTTGTGCATATTTATACCTTTGATTCATATTTTTTTATTTTTACTGATATTTCTTTTCAACACTTAGAACACTGAAATACATTTTATAAGCTACAAAAGAAATAAAACCACTAGTGGTACTAAGTTGATAAATGGCAAACACTGGGCTAGGAAAATATTAGCAAGAAATGTTTCAACATAAATATTAAGAGTAAAGAACTTTAATTGGGTTATGGTACAACTATAAAGCAGAAGGATTCAATCAGTGTACTGCTAAGTGATTCTTGTTCAAAAAAATTGTCTACACTTTTGCCATGTTATTTCTCATTGGGATTTTTGTCCTGTTTTGATTTTTTGTTTGTTTCGGAGTTTTTTGTTTGTTTGTTTGTTTTTTTCTTTTACAAACTATTTCATCAGGGACGTAAAACTTCAACTAGCCAGCATGGAGGCTTAGTCTGAAATCTGACATTAGAGCTTGGATAATATTCACTGCTATTGTAAGACATTTAAGTACTCAGATAAATAATGGACACATCATTGTACACACCAATTAAGTTGACTGACATTTAATTGTACAAGAAGTGGAAATCTACCTCTCTCTCAGCTGTATTGATTCTTTTGCAAATAGAGGAGGAAGAAAAATTTCTAAAATTTGCTATTTTCATATACCTGCATATACCAACACTATTGACCAGATTGTATGCCTAGTCTTAAAAAATAAGTGAAAAATTCTTAGCTGAAAAATTAAAAATATTATATGCATAGTGCAGTTGAGAAGTAAATTTAAAGAGCACAAGGAGGAATAATACCTATTTACACTGGAAGCTTTCAGTCAGATATTGTACCTTTCTCATAGCTTTTCCTTTTGACCATTCTGCCCATAGCACCTAGGCAAAAGTAAAAATTTTTGTTTTACAAAAGTGTTGCAGCTTTTACATAATTGTTGTAGCTTTGTCTCTGCTAAGATACAAACTAGTTAGTCTTCTATGTTCAAATTGTACCAATGTCACATATTCAATTGATCAGCTTTGGGATTTGATTTACTACAGTCTGCTTTCTGGAATGGATTTTTTTTTAATGCAAATTGTGTGAATCAACCACTCAGTGGTTGTCAGCATAAGAATAATCCCATCACTGAGGAGAGATAAATTAGTGGGTTGTAGATAACTGTAAAAGTTAAAGAAAATGATACATTTTATTTGTTGCATGCCTCTGCAGTTTATTTACCCAGATCTCTTAAGGCATACAACTACCCAAGAGAGGAGGTATGATAAAATGGATAATGTTATATATTTAACATGAATTGAATTATTGAGGAGTGGTTATCTGTTAATAATAAGAGCATAGAATTTTTACAGATTAATAAATAAAGAAATGAAACCCTAAACATATTGTAATCAAATAAGAGGGAATTCCACAAACGGGGAATCAATGGATGTAGGAATTCAACCCTTTTAAGACATGAAAATAAAATCAAACATTATTTTTCAAAGCTTGGTCAGAATGGAAGCACAAAGAGTGATCTTAGAGCCACCAAAGTGTGTGACCAGAACCTGAATTAGCCTTTCAAAATACCTGGAATATGATTCTTTTGTCTCTCAGAATTTCAAAGGCCTTGGAAGATCTTGTTCACCAATCTAAGGCCATACAAAGTCCTGTCTACACAAACTACACAGTAAGGTATCCAGACTTAGGATCATTTCTCAGGGTCAGAAATCAGTACAGTCTGAAATACTTTACAAATGGGAGAAAGATAGTCCAGTTTTATAAAGTAGACATTTTCAAAAGAATGAACCCCAGGCTCTTTACTGTTGAAGTAAGAAGAACCTGAATGACTGAGCCCTGTAATCAAGCCAAATTCTTCAGTGATATTTACTTACTGTGTGGTAGTGATTTGATTCTCTCTCTTATCAGAATATAGTGAAAAGACTTGGTAAAAACCTCAAGGACTTAGAAGAAAAACAAGTCATATACAGGTTAGGTTTGAAACAAAGTCTAGAGTTTGTTTTTATGAAAGAAAACTGAATTCTGCCTCAAAATGCTAAGGACACCAGTTAGTAACTAATTCTGTCACCCTTCTTCATTCCAACCATTATTTTAGTTTCCCATTTAATCCATTACATCAGAAATAAAACTGTGTAATTGAAGCATATAGCATTATATAGAATTTACTTTTTAAATCCCAAATTTCATTGAAAATTACTCAACAATTGAGTTCAACAAAAGCAAGTTTGACAGAATCAGGCACCTACATCTGGAGATAAAATACTGTTAGTCAAAAAAAGCACACAAAGCTCTTCGTGTTCCTTATGCCTTTAAGTATTTTAGGTCTGTATTTTTTCGAAGTTTGGCAGTCTTTTATAATAACTTGGGTTTACTAAAAATGTTGGAATAAAATACAGGAATTTGAGAAAGAGGAGTTGCGTCTTATGCAAAACCAACACCCAAAAAGGACCTTCACCACCCACAAGTACTGTTGATCTGATTTGTTTAAAATAAAACAGTACAGCATCTCCAAAGGTGCTTTGAGTGTGGTTGCTCTGCAGGTGGCAGTTCTGATATACAACTTGAAAAGACGTACAACGTATGTAGGACGATTTAAAAGAGACTTTGCAAGAGTTATGAAAACTAAACTGATTTTATCAGTGCACTATTTGACTTTGCTCATTCATGCAGGCTGCATTAGAGAAGGAATGGCTAACTCTAGATTCCACCCGTTTCCCTTCAAAAACACTCCTGCTCTCAAACCAGCTGCACTGGCCAAAGGTAACATGTCACAGAAACAACTTAGTCTTGTCTCTATCCATTCCTTAAGGATATGCTATTCTGGGGTGATTAATACGACAATTTAGTGACTTAAAAACACAATTACTTTTAGAAGTCTCAGACTTCCTCCTCATCTCCAGATGTAATTTTTCTTTTAGATTTTCTTTCATTTGCTTATTTTTTTTCTTTATTTTGGATTTATTTCAACACTTTACTTCACAGTAGCAGAAAAAAAGATGATGTACTTCATCTGCACATTTGGCAATGGATTAAAAATTGCTAGTTGACAAACTACTTTAAAAATACTAAGATCTGCATTATATGACAACAGCTGAATGTTTTCAAAACAGCTAAAGGTCATTGAACTGTAATGTCTGCTAGATATTTGATAAACTTTGAAGTTTTGGCTTTTTGTGTTTGTAGGGTTTTGTATTCTTATTGCAAGCATAGTATTACTAATGTTTTGTTTCCTACAATTAGGAGAAGGGAGTCTTATAAATATACAATTTATTATATTTAGGGATGTTAAGTGTAACTAAAGTCACCTTTTTGTCCTATTCAGTTAGTTGAAAGTAAGGTCTGTAATGGGCATATAATCATTAAAAATCCTTTCATTTATAGTGATAAACTCTGCAAAACCTGGTGCAGGTTTTCCTGCACATTTTAAACTCAATCTTATGGGGACAATTAGCTGCATTCCTTTTCTTTCTCTTGGAAGTCTTCTAGGCCTTCAGATTCCAGAGAACATTCAAATAGTTTGCCATTAGCACCACAAGAAGTTTGGCAGTGTGCTAACAGACCACATTCATACTCAGCAGAAAAAATCCATTTTCATAGCAGGTAAGTTAAATTATATTGTTTTAAATTGTATTTAGTTCATTTGAATTTGACAAAAATAAAAAGGAGAAGAGGAGGCTATTTTCTGATGCTTTTGCTAATTTTGGTTAATGTGATATTACTGGAGTTAAAATGTATTTGCTTCCTAAATATTAAATATTATTTGCAGTTGTTATTTTTCATTGACTACCATAATTAGAAATATAAGAATACATATGTTTAGTTTTATTTATTTAGGTTTGACTATAAATCATAAAACTTCTATTTTTTCATATATGTTATAAAATAGATGTTGAAATAGAGATCTTTAAGACTAGATAAAGATTAAAAAGGATTTCTTAAACAGCTGCATTCTGTGAAAGGACTGAAATATGTCTCAAGTAATTGAAATGTAAACATTTCAAATTGATGGCAGACTTTTATTACTCTCCAAGATAAAACCTTCATAGAGTATTAAAGTGGGGTTTTTTTATCATTTCCGAGCTTGAAAAGTACCTTTAAAAGGCACAAACAAGTTGCAGACTAACAAAGGCTGCAAAATAATATAACCCCACACCCTTTCTTATTTACTTACCTTACAGTACTGCTCTTATGCTTTGTTTCCAGGTCAGGGAAGGAAACAATGTCACAGCTTTCTAACTGGAAAGAAAAAAAGGAATTTTTATTTATGTCTGAAAAAGAAGAGAAAATATCAGAAGAATGGTATGTTTAGCTCTTTTATTTATATAGTGACTTCCAAGCATAGGTATAGTATAGTTGGCTTTTGTTGCTTCCTTTTTTTAAGTTCCATGTTTGAAGAATCTCTGTTTTCTACCAAAGAAAAAATTATTGTAACTATTTTTGTAAGTGTCTGAGAAACTATCTTAATAAGTTTCAATAATGTAATGTTAAGATAAGAATTGCAGCTATCTCTGTAACTCAGAAAGTTTCATACTATGGATGACATAGTACTTACTACAGGGTACTGCACACCAGTATTCTTTTCGAAAACTGTATTATACAATAATATGCAGCTGGTGTAACATAATACATGTGAAATATTTAGTAAGTTATTTTCTTCCCTTAGGGGTTTCAAGGATATTTCTACTGCACAGCTAATGCTGAAGAGGGCCCATAAAATGAAACCTAAAAAATGCAGTAATAAAAGTTTAGGTAAGTCAACACTTAAAATAATGGTTATATTGATGTAATTTTTCCATTCTTAAAATAGTGTTTCTCTATTAAAAACTTTGCTTCTACAACATTAAACATTAATTTGAATAAAAGTGGAGTGTGATTCAGTAAAAAACAACTCAGTTTAAATCAAAATATTTAGATTTTAAAAACTGGATTACCGGATTTTGAAGTTGAATATTTGACAGCTATGGTAATCAGAAATTTTATCTCTTCCTGTTCATGTATCTCTTTTTCTAGATGTGGAATTTGTATTTTTACATTTTGTGCTTCTTGTATTTTCTTCATGGGAAAATCTTAGGTTGAAAATTTTGCCTTATGCAAGAACTATTTATGAAAACTACAGTTTAATATATATGAAAGTAAATAATTAATTTTTTAAAATTATGTATTTACTGTGATAATAGATAATGGCTTCTCATCCAATTGTATTCTGATCCTTCTCAGATACCTCTAATGTCAATGAACCTTTCTTAGAATCATTAATTGTTAATATGATATGCTAATAGAAGTGTTGCTGGAATATATTAATAAACATATTAGTCAAAACTGATAGTACAACATTTAATCATTTAAGACCCTAGTTGACAATAGGACTTAATAAAGATCTAAATGGTCTTTAGAAAATGCACCCTTATTTACTTATATCTTGTATCACAAGCTACGCTCATCTGCATAACTTTACAAAACTCTTCTGTATTAAGTGTTGAAAATATTGAAAGATGTTTTGCTCTTTGAAGGGAAAAAAATCAGCCTACAGATATATGTTGGCAAAGTTTTTTTTCTATTTTTTTCTACTTTAAATACCACGCCTATGACTGAGACTATGACAAAAATGATCTATAGTTTAAAAAATAATAAAAGGGGTGGGCGACAAAAAGACAGGTAATCAACAAAACATGCTTTGTGGAAATTAGAGTATATGGATAAGAAATTAAACTTATTATATTGAAATCTTCATAGCTTTCCATGGTGCTGCCATGTTACCTTATTAAAAAAAAAAATGTAATGAGTATCTGGTGTGCAGCTGAGGTTCTATATATATATTCCATTTTTTGGCCTCTGTATAATTTTTCAATGAATAGAACTTGTTAGGTTATATCTTCTTTTCTCCATATGCTGTCTGTCTTATGTTAGTAATTAATCCAGTCATAGATATCTGATTGAGCATATCAAATTTGCTGTCCTATTTTTGTTGTAGTTCTAATGGATTTCTTGGATATGTTTATGTTCACTTTGTTCAGATTATTCAATATGATGTATGGTTGTTGAGCTTTTTAATGTAATGCTTGGAATATTCTCAAAGTACATTTCTAGATAAAAAAAATGAAAAAACTTTTGCCCAATGTTTTTATAGTTTCAAATTTTCTTCTCTTGACACTACCTCATCTAGATTTTTTTTTTGTCTTTCTGACTATTACATCAAGTACAAAAATAACCTGTGTATATAATTTGCCTATATGAATTTCTGTCAGTCATTAAAATCACGGGTTTTTTTCAGATGAACAGAAAGCGTAGTTTCCAGTACCAAAAAATGTGACTGAAAATATGTCCATCCCTTTTCAGGAAAAAAGTTATCAAGCTGACTATTCTTTCTCATACAGCACATTCATCTGAATAAGTAGATGTCAACATTGTCTTTTAATGTTCCCAAAGAAGTTACCATCCTATTGCCTTCATCTCCACTGAAATGAGGTTCATTTATCTTGTACTTAGTGATACTGCATATGGAAAATTGCAGGATTTAGTTTTAGCAATACTGTTTCTGTTCTTTCTTTTGAATTTGCAGGTCTTCAGTGTTATAATTACAACTGTTTCCTTTTTAGCTTTCTAATTTAAAGTAGTTGAAGTATACTAAGTACAAGAAAATAATTTTGTTTGTGATAAACATTCATACCCATCAGAAAGTAAGTAACCAGCAGCAACTTAGAAGTGGGAATTATAAGGTATAAAGAAGCAATTTTCAATGTTATATTTACTTACACATCTGACTTAGAAGCAAAATTTTTAAGCTTTGAGAAAATGCAAAGTAGCAACTCTAAAGAATGTAGATACAAATAAATTATAAGCTCTTCACATTAAACCTATAGCTTTTATGTTGAGATTGCAGTATAATCCCAAACATCTTTTATATGCTATTGATCATTCTGTGTAAGGATCTCATTACTTGCAGGTAATGATAAGGTATAGATGGATCTTCTTGGAACAAACTAGCAGTCAGGTTATGTTTTCTGGTTCCATATGCTGTCAAAGTCCTTTGCCTTAGACCTGAGATTCACAAATACAAATTGTTAAACCAGTTTGCATTCGGAGAGATATACAGTTGATCTTTAATATTGTTAAGATGTCTGCTGGGTTGAAACCTGGACTGGACAGTCCTGAACAGCTTTGATCTTTAATATACTCAGGTGTGGAAATTTATTCCTTTTATTTTTCCATATAAAACATTTGTCTTCTACTAGTGCAAGAATGATGGTATCCATTTGATAGTTATGGAAGTCCACATCTGAGTTAGTCATCTTCATTGCTTCATGGAAAGAAATTTCCTCTTAAAGCATAATACAAAAACAGGCTACTTGAGTCTCACTGTAAAAGCACTTACAGTTCTCCATTGCCTAGACACAAAAGCTAGAGTGACTTGCTGAAGTACGAAGTTAAACTCTAGATATGAGAAGTATCTTACCTCATATGTCTGCCCACATATCTTCTAAGTAAAGAAAAAATATGGAAAATACTAGCAAGTGCACTGAATACTGTTGTTTGTATTGCAAGGGAGAGAGAGCTTAAAGTAGCATAGCCTTATAGTAGGGAGTGATTCAGGCAAGGCTTATATTGCAGCAGACCAGTCCCAGCAACTAATGGCCTTAAGGCCTGTATGCCCTAATCCACTTCTATTATGTATTAATAATCCACTCTCTTTATTTATAATCCACTTCTGTTATTCTGCTTTTTTATGTAGTTAAAGAAAGTTGTGGCCTGTATTTTAATGATACTAAATGTATGCTGTGTTTGCTTCAACTATTTTTCCTGTACTGTAAGATAATACAAAAAGTGTGGGCAAGAAACCAGAAAATTTGCAGCCAAGTAAAACTGGCATAATGTCAGAAATATTCCTGTTAACCTGGGTGCATAATATTCTATAGAAATTTTGATTCAAAATCTAAATACAGCAGACATTATTGCACCTCACTGTGCTTAAGTGTCTGTGATTCCTAAGTCTTAGGTTCATAAAGATGTCTTGGCACAATAATACCAAATTTCTTGCTTAACTTGGAATTTCCCTCATCCTGTGGATTTTATATTAGCCTCTCAGTTAAATTCTTTTTCTTTTAAGATGGCTGAAGGCTTGTTTCTCCTACACTGGTGTATTACTTCTTGTTTAACCTTTTCCTCCCCAGAAAAAAGTTCTTTTGTCAGTGGATCAGGCTCAGCCAACATGAGTTTAGAAAAAGTAGGTTCTGCTTTGACCAATCTGATCTCATTTTATGAACAGGTGACTCACCTGCTGAGTCAGGGAAAGGTTGTAGATGTTTTTTACCTGGGCTTCAGTAAAGCCTTTGATACTTCCTTTTACAGCATTCTCCTGGAGAAGCTGGCTTGGACAGGTACACTCTTTGCTGGATTAAAAACAGGCTGGATGGCCAGGCCCACAGAGCAGTAGTGCATGCTGCTCCATCCAGTTGGCAAGTGGTTGGTGGTGGGGCTCCCCAGAGCTCAGTATTGGGACTGGACCTGTTCAATCTCGTAATCGATGATCGGGGGTGGGGGCGGGGGGGAAGAATTGAAGGCACCCTCAGTAAATTTGTAGATGACACTAAGTTCATCTGCTGGAGGGCAGGATCATAACAACTCCAGGCATCACAGCAGGTTTAGGAGCAGTGGCTGGAGAGCAGCCCAAAGGAAAAAGATCTGGGGATGCTGGTGACAGTGGCTGAACATGAGCCAGCGTGTGCCCAGGTGGCCACAAGGCCAAAGGCATCCTGGCCTGGATCAGCAATAGTGTGGCCAGCAGGACCAGGGCAGGGATTGTCCCCCTGTACTTGACACTGGTGAGGCCACACCTCAAATCCTGTGTCTGGTTCTGGGCCCCTGGCTGCAAGGAAGACATTGAGGTGCTGGAGAATGCCCAGAGAATGGCCAGAAGGCTGGGGAAGGGTCTGGAGCACAAGTCCTACGAGGAGTGGCTGAGGGAGCTGGGGTTGTTTAGTCTGGAGAAAAAGAACCTTAGGGGAGAACTTACTGCTCTATACAACTCCCTGAAAGGAGGCTGTAGCCAGATGAGCATTGGTCTCTTCTCCCAGGCAACTAGCATCAGAACAGGAGGAAATGGCCTCAAGCAGTGCCAGGGGAAGTTGAGGTTGGACATCAGGAAGAATTTTTTTCGCTGAAAGTGTAGTTAAGCATTGGAAAACCCTGCCTAGGGAGATGGTGGAGTCATCGTTCCTGGAAGTGCTCAGAAAATTACTGGATATGGCACTTAGTGCTATGCTTTAGTTGACATGGTGGTTGGTCAAACGTTGTACATAATGATTTTGGAGGTCTTTTCCAACCTCGATGGTTCTATGATTCTATGGTAATACTTGATGCCACATAGATAGGAAAAAAAATTTTAAAAGGTAAAAAGCAGCTGAAGTGGACTTTGATCACTAGAACCAGAATACAATGATAAAGATATTTCATAGAGATCAGCAAATATTTGTAGTTCGAGTTTAGAATTTTAGACAGCGATGCAATACTAGTTAAAAAATGAAATAAAAACCAGTAAAAAACTCAACCCACCTTCCTCAAATGCACCACCCAAAACAGATAATCCATCTTAACTGTCAGAATAACAATGTGGGACGTATTATTATTTGGTATTACACATTACATGAATGACCATTGATCTATATTTTCTTAGTAACAGAAAATAAGCTATTTCTTGTGATTGTCAATTCTGCATAGAAGTATCTTCTGGGAACTCCAGCCATGGATGAGTTGGAGTTCTAATTGTTGTGCCACTATGGAAAAAAATCTGGTCTTCCAAATGATATTATAGATAAGCATCTCTTGCTATGTGCAACTTTGTCTTATCATCTCTTTAAAGTTGTTATGTTATGTTTATATTTTCCTAATTACAGGTATTACACAATAAAAATGAATGGCAAACATTTTAATTTTTTTGGTTTCACATATTAATGAGAAGTTTAGGAATGTGGTGCCAGATCAGGCAGTAACTACTCCTTCCATATTGTTTCCATAACACATATTCTGTTTGTCCAACTTAACTTCTATATTTGGAGGCAGCCAAGAAATGTACATTAAATTAGCTCCCTGGCTTCTAGATTGAGAGCACAGATTATCATCTGATATACCACATTTTAATGAGTATGCCAGATTCCAGGAAGATATTTCTATGATTTTGAATTATTGGACTCTTTCACAGTTCTCTGTATGAAATCTAATACATTTGATTGCTTGTCATCAAAGCATACATGCAGTTCATTTCCCTAGCTCACTCAGAGACTGAAAAGCACTAGTATTATGAAGTAATCTATGTAATATTGCTTACATTTGGGACTAGATAAAGAAAAGGACTCATTTTTAATAATAGAAGAGCTGTAGGCAATGGTCGAGGTGATCCAGGTAGGTACAAATTCAAGGAGTCTGGAACTGTTTTAAATGCATGTAGATTCTTTAAGTAATTTTGCAAAGATTCAAAGATAAATCTTCTGATGGAAATCTCTTAGAAGAACAATTTCCATTATTTGCCCTTCTTCCCAGTTCATGGAAGACTTTGCTGCTGATATCTTTGTGCACAAATAAATGTTCCATAAATATAACTTGTGAGTAATAACTCTGAGTGACTTCACCAAAAATCTTGAATATAGTTTAACTTTGGACTTGGTGTTTTCATCGAATTGTATGGGAGGCTGGATTAAGGAAAGATGATATTTTTAAAACATTTTGGAACAATGTCAATAGAGCCACATAGGAAAAAATATATTATTCTAGAAATTATTTTAAATAAATCAAAATTACTTCAGAAATTTTCAGTTACATTTTGTCTTAAGAGGTTTTATTTGATTTTATCTTTGCTCTTCTATTGAAGAAAGACACTGGTTTTTGTAACTAAATAAAGCTGGAAGAACTTAGAAGTCTTTTTGTCAACACTGTATGCTAAAAGTTGGAAAAATTACAATTATAAAAAAAAATATTTGTACATATTTATCTGTGTGCAGGACTTGTATAGCCATGTATCTTAGAACTATATATACAGCAGACAATAATAATTCATACTTAAAATATATTTTATAACTTCTATTATCTAAAATTTCAATGAGAACTTTTAAGGTATAATGTAATACAATTTCAAGGTATTTTAATCATAAGCCTTACTGTGATTCTCTGTCCCAAACATTTCCTACTCTAATGAGCACTAGTCTGATACATTTTTTTTTACTTGGAAGGCTTTATCCATTTATACAGAGTGAAAGAATCTATAAACCTGGCAATACAGTTTGTGAATAAAATTATTTCATTATCAGAATCATTCTAATAATCTACGTTTGAAACTAATGGAGCTAATCATTATTTATTTTGCTTCTTGGATAGTTTCATTGAATTTAGCTAGTAAAAGTGAGTTAAAATTACTTCAAATATTACGTCGTCTGGGTTAATCTGAAAGCTCTAATCATCGTACGACCTCATGAGAGAGGCTCTCGATTTGAGATAGCAAATTGTAAGATATGATTGATTCTGCCTTGTAAAGAAGGCATGGCCTAATTTACTCCCTCCCCACTTGCCATGATTTCTTCATTAGTCAAATTTGCTGCTTTGGGAGAGGTTAGTACCATTAAGAACATTTTGTCAACGACATGCTGCTGCAGTATGGGCTGACCAAGAACTCTGTATTATCTCTTAGAGTGCCACATCCCATTAGAGATCTTCTCCAGGCTTGTAATTGATCTTCCCATTCTCTGGGAAAAAGCTGAGCTCTTAGGATCCCTTTATGTTCCATTAGTTTGTAATTGAAGTGTCTACTACAGCTGTAGAGGGCTAGTCAAAACCAAATTTTCAAATTGTTGTTAAAATTCATAAGAAGTTGCCCACTACCTCAACAGGACATTCCGGTCATTCAGAAATAAGAAAACCAACAAACAAAAAAGCTGTTTTGCTGCAGTATTATCATGGTTTTATAAACTCTCTCAATAAACACTAATGAGATCACGTAATGGACTCAAAATGAAGCACCAGACATAACTGGTTATTTCAATGTGTTCTGTCTGAATGCTCTTGAGTCTTTCCATAGCCTGTTTTCTTGCTCTGTCTGTTCTGGCAGTGTCTCACATATTCATTTTTGCTACACACACATTCTTTGAGAAAATTTAGATCTTTCCCTTGCCATTTCTAATTTTTTTATAAGCTCCAATGCTTTTTTTCTCCTTATTACTAATTTCTACCCTTTTTGGACAGTTTTTAGTCACCTTTGTAGACAAGCTTCTTCTGCCTCGTTGTTTCTCATATAGTCCTGAGAGTGGATATATCTATTTGGGCTACTGTGTTCTTTTAGCTGTCAAACATATTTCTTTTATCTTTTCATTGGCATTCTGTGACTCGTTACCTTGCTCCATGGCATACCTACAAAACTCTCTATCCTTTGCTCATAATTTTCTGTCTGCTTTTGTTTCTGTATTCTTTTCAGTCTCTATTGAGCTTTTTAGTATTATCGCTGGTTTATTCTTCATTGTGCCCAGAATTTTTACATTTCCTTAAACTCTTACTTTCCTCCTGTGTCGTGCAAAAAAAAATCTTCCTTCATATTGTAAATAACATGTGAAAATCATGTCTCCTGACCTGTGTGGTTTTTGCATCAGTTTAGCTTTTGTTAATTTGCTGCTTTTTTTTTTTTTTTTTTAACCGGTCTAGGAACATTTCTTACATAGATTTATATACAATTATCTGCTCATCTTTACTTGCAAACTTTTAAAGGTAACAGTTAAAAAGCTAATCAAGATTTTATACTTCAGCATGTAAACTTCTGGGGTATTTTTTAATTTCAGTTAGGATGGAAGATGCAGGAAGACTAGCTTATTATCTACAAGTGTAGCCTAAAACATAAGCTGTCTCCTGTTAACATTTTTTAGGTGTAAATGTCTTGATTTAGGTTGCTGAATGATTCTGACCCAAAGCTTTTAGAAACACTGCTTGATATGTATACTGTTAATATTTCTGCTTTAAATTCAAGCTTAAGATCCAGATTCTTAAAAAATATTTTCTGCAAATACATGCTTCAGAGTTTATTTTTAATTTGGAGATGAGTGAGCTGAAAGATCAACAGTGTTAAAATTGCAAAACAATTGCTTTTATTCTCAGTTGCATGTGTATTTATATGGCTTTGTTTTAGAAAGTGTAATCCTTTGTGAATATAAAACCTACTTTTAAAGGTATTTTCATTTATTAAGTGGCTAAAAGGTGAAAAACTGCTTGAAGGAATGAATGAGCCAGGTCTGACCTTTGATTTTAACTTATTCTTGTCATCTAGACCCAGCTGTGCGCCTGGCGTTGTTCAAAAACAATGAAAATAAACATCTCTCTGTGAAACCACCAGGGAAGACACAGCCTATAAGTGCTGGTTACTTTGAAGGTATGAACAAGGATTTCATTTTATGCATATAAGCATATATATTTTGCAATGTCTTTTAAACAGGCCTACTCAATATATAAAACAATATGCACAAATAGAAAAAGGCGTAAGTTTAAGGACTTTATCTGTTCCTGGGTATCTCAAGCAGTGCAGCAATGAAACATTTCAATTTCAATTCATTGTGGAGAGCAGAAGGTGGTCCTAGAGCTTAATTCATAGGGAGATGGAGCATAACTTATTTATTTATTATGTTATTATTAAATCTTCATCATGAAAAATGTCACAGCATGTCAAAGAGATATAAAATGCAAACTACTAGAATAAAACTTCATAAATGAAATATCACTTAAAATTCTTCATTTAATTGCCACCTTTTCCGAAGCTAGACATCAACTCTTAAAAATCCTTAACATGTCTTTTGGAAAGTACTTCCACAAATATTCCCTAGAAATCCACCATTTGACAGAAGGCAAGGAAAGAACATTCAGCATGTAAGTATGAAATTCTTTTTCGTAAATATTTCACAAATATTTAAATACTGATGTAGCTCTTTTACTGTTGAAATTCATGTTAAAATACTCCTTGGTTTCCATACAATTAAAATAAGGCCAAGTCTATTTAAAATACTCTTGTTGTAAGAAGACAGTCATCTCCAGAGACATTGTTTTTATATTGTTTTGATTCTTTTTGCAACTCAATAGTGTACTCAGAAAGTTCTCACCTCTAACTTTTTATCTTTGTCAAAGACATAATAGTACACTATTTGATCTATTCCCAGTTTCACAAAGTAAAATTATAAATTATACTGTATTAGTATTCACTGTATGAGGATAAAAATTAGAATATGTCTGAAACAGGTGTGAAATAAATTTGAGTGTATGTTAATTGCAATTCAGTCAATTAACTGTATGGAAGCCTAGATTTGCCTCACATTCCTGTGTCCATGCTCAGATTTGATTGGAAGCAATTCTTAGTGAATTCTGAAGAGGAAATATTTTTTCACTATTATTTGCCTTGGATCAAAGCATGAATTTAGCTCAGCTATGGAAAGTCTGTGTGAACTGCACCTGACTGAGAATTCACAGTATCTCATGTATGTTTCTGTGGATTATGCTTATATAGGTCAGAATGCATCATATGCTGAGGAAACAGGACATGCAGGCTGCCTGTGAAAAAGTGAATGTCCAAGAGGAGAAAAAATAGTAGGAATGTTCAAAACACCATGTCAGAGATAAGCCTGATTACAAGTTCAGTACCCTAAAGTCAATGTAGGTTTAGCCTAGCTTTCCTGCCATGAGTTTATTTGCTCCTGGCTGAAAACATTTCCCTTTGATTTGAAAAGCCGATGTACACATCCTAAATATTACTGGGGTTACTTTTTGAATTTATGGAGGCAAGGTACCAAGGCAGATTGGATATCAAAAGGCAAGCGTAGTGGTGGCGCTCTTAATTATCTTTCATTTCAAGGACCATTTTACTCCTCTAGCAGGCTAATAAACAGAAACTGTTTTTCACCACTCGTGGCTGCTCACATGCAGTCTGCTGAGCCTTCAAGAAGACAAGCAATACTTTTCTGCTTGACCAGAATATAAATTTGTCCTTCTACCAGAGACATTGCTACTTCAGACTTTATGTCCAGAAAATTCTGGGTTGTGAATTAGAAACAGGGTGCAACACAGAGCATTTGTTTATATGTATATGAGGTACCATCAGACCATCATAAGAATTTCTAAATTAGAATTAGTAACACTTCGCACCTGCATAATAACTTCACAGAGTTGTGTTATCAGAGATGTCTTCTCTTGTTTCCCATTTCCCCTCTTACCTTTTAAGTGTTTTTTCCTCTTTTGCCTGCAATAGATCTCTTTGGCTCTGTTCTGTCATTGGAGTTCTTTCTGTAACAAGAAGGTGGAATGTTTTCACTCTGCATCCATAAATCTTGTGGTCATTGTATTTTAAGTCGATAGAACCCAGACCTGTCCTTTGCATTGTGGAAATAAACTTCCTCCATTCAAGTCCTTTTACTTTCACAGACTCATAGTTGAGTCCTTGGGTAGAAAAGTTGAACTCCAAACCTTCTTCTTCATAAACAACTAAATTAAAAAAAAAAAGCACATTCTATATATTCCTTCTTTATTTCTTTAAATTGGGAAATGGAGGGGAGAAATCAATGTCAACAGCAAAACAGCAAGTACACACGTGTTATCTGTTAAATAACAGAATCACTACTTTTGAAAGGGGATGCCCTAGGAAGTGAAACAATTAGAACAGTTTTAGATTTTCAAACTGGAATATATCATGGTAATGAATATTTAAGAAGAAATCTAGTTAAAATGTATGATGAATATCTTTTGTCTTCATTGTGGTTTTGTGTATAAGAGTACAAAGACAAAAAAGAATAAAAGCATAAGAGATATAAAAATAGTGAAAATAAATGAGTCTAATATCTGATGCTTTTGTTTTCCCGAGATTATTGTTCTGTCATATTTTGCCTTCTTATTTTCCTGCTACAAAAGTTTTGATAAGCTGATATGCAATATGCTGATAACAAATTTTGAAATATTGTGCATTACTTTAATCCTATAGGATAATGCACACATCTCTAAGCTAACATACATGTTGTAGGAAAATAAATTTTCAAAATTTTAGTTATTTATTCATAAATATTCAAAAGTTATTAATAATTTTTTATTAAATTTTTATGAGTCATCATGCTTTACTTGCTGATGTTAGGCAAATCCTGACCAGGGACCATTATCTCACATTTGAAATACAGCAGCAAACAGAAGCTAGTCAGAAATAAATCCCTTTGTAATACACACACCATGCCAACAACATGAGGAACTATTGTTCTCACAGAGAAAAGCTTACCATTTAAAATACAAGCAGCATCTGAAGGCACAAACCATGAAAATGTAATTCAATGCATTACTTTATATGTATCTATATGTGTCAATACATTTACATACAGTGCATAATGTCTATACTCACACAAATATATATGCATATACCATGAGTATAAGTAGGTATAGTAATTCAATAAATGTAGCACTTATGACTTTTTATTTGTATATTTTGAAAGGAAAGTATATTATGAACAATTACTCTCTGGTGTAATTACTAGTATCAACATGCATTTTGTCCTAACACTTTCTGTCAGACGCTGTTTCAGTTTCTTTAAAATTAATTTAATGCATGCGGTCATTGTATTATAGATACATTAAAACTATTAGTTAAATAAAAATATGCTTGAATCTTTATTGTGACATTAACTTGAGTAGGTTGTAAAGTAAGCCATAAAATATGCAAGTATAAATATGTATTTACTGTTTCTCATAACAAATTATGCCCTGATCAAAATCCTGAAGACAGATGAAAGCCTGACTTGATGTACTCCTGATAATTTGCTAGATGTTTCCTGGGACTGTGTATAGTACACTGCTTTCTTTGGTGAGATAAGGTTATGCTTCCATCATGGTTGTTGAGTTTCATTTAGTGTCAGGTAGCTGACAAACAAAATATGCCTTCTTTAATGAATATTGTGGTTCAATGAATATTCTTGGAGATGTTTTTGTGTTTTGAAGATGGTGACATTTCAAAGATCTCAAAATTCTGGAAACTTTGTACAGGCACACAGATAATTGTCATAATTTCCTATTTCGCATCAAAGCATATTTTTTAGAATGCTTTATGACTGCTTGTCCTCTTTCTGTCTGGAGGCTATTTCAGTTGTTAATTTAATGTAAAATAGTCTTGACTGTTTTGGGTAAACTACATCAGGAACTGAAGGAAAAATCTATCCTTGACTCCTCTTGGGAAGTTCTAATTTGTCCTGGCTGAACGTGGAACAGAGCATCTATGCCATCTGTGGGTCCATAATTGCAGGATCTGTAATTTCATTTACATAGAGGGAGGATACTTTTGTAGCCAACAGTGTGAATACTTAGTCCCAGTACAGCAGCTGAAAACTAAAGAATGAGCCCTAAGGCCAAGCACATTATTTTGCTGCAAGCTTTGCAAACAATGTGTGTCTTTTTGGGTCCTCTTTAATCCAGTTTCTTCAACTGGGTTTTGGTAGGTTATCCAAATAATTTTTTTCAGTGGAATGGGAAGCTGAATTCCAATCTGTAGAGCAAGTTGGAAGAATGCAGTAGATCAGCTGAAAATCCATTCAAACTATCTAAGTATTATTTGGATATTATTCACTTTATTTCACAGAATTTCCTAAACTGTGCTGTATTTAATTTTGAAGGTTAGGTGATTTATTGGCATATATAGTATATTTATTTTTAATCATATCCATATCCATCAGTGACACATCTATACCATACACTTCAAAGTGAAAACAGTGCAATGTGACTTCACCTAAAAATGTGAACAATGATTTGTGCCTGGGAATTTAACTATATTAAAAGTGCACTGGGCTGTGCCGACAAGATGTGTTTGCTGTAGTTTGGGAACCTGTAGTTCTAATTGGCAGTACTGTCTTTCCTGTCATTTTATGCTCATGGTGACTAAGGAAAATGTAATGGGTATAGTGTTAAGACTGATTTCAGCAATTCAAATTTGATAATTAATAGATTATGCTTTCTCAGGTGACTTTTAATTATGCCAATATTTATTTCTGTTGAAATTGTCAGTAGAAATAACATTAATTTTTCAAGAATAAGAAATAAAGTGAGCTTGTGATTTTATCATACTATTGGAAGATAAATATCAAGGAATCCACTTAGTCATCTGTTTTCCAGCCTTCTAATAGTTCCTAACTATGAAACTCCTTATAGTTTCAAGCGAAAGTTATTGCAAAACATCCTTATAGATTATTTTTACTAATGATAATTGAAAGTGCAAAAGGGAGATTTTTGAAAGTTGGAATTTAAGTTAGCTATTAGTTAATTCTGTGAGTTCATTAAAATATTGTTGCACTTGATCAACATAGTTTCTTAGATTTTCTGTATTATAAAATAGGAATAATTTTTTAAAAAACTATATGTGATATT